TAAAAATAAATAGCACGACATTTTTATATTATAAGCTGCCCCAAAATTATTCTCTAAATATAATTTAGTTGCAAAAAATTATTTTAAATTATTGCCAAGATAACGAAATAGAAATTACAAATTCAATTCATATCTTTTGATAAAAACATACACTGGTTTATCGACTATTTAGTTTCATTGATTAAGTGTATCAATATAAATTAATATTAACATTACAGAGTAAATAAAACCAATTTGCGATAAGTTTACGTGTTACAGAAAAGAACTATATAATATTATTAATACAAGTGATGTGATTTGCATTAGCGCTTGGGCTCTTCGGACTCGGTGAGTGGCAGCAGTCAACTTATTGAGCCGTATAGGCATATCTTTCGTCGACATTTTATGCTCTAGATTTATGTTTTATTTTGCATATCCGAAATTATTGCATAATACAGTGTTTAGTCAGAAAATATAATAAACACCAAGCACAATGATGTATGCTGCTTTATAAATCTAGCGGCAATAGGTGGGATAGCAGCTACCAAGAATTGCGTCTGCGCTGACTCGGCGAATATTCTTATCGTACGTATCAAACTCAAACTCATCGAATACACTATTGTAATGTAGCAGTTTTATAACAGTCCATTGAAGAATAACAAGCAAATTAATTAAAATATTTCCATTTCAAAATCATGCATTACTAATTTTACACGAGTTGTCAACCGAATTATTATCTCACACACAGCGAGTAATGAACTCGATGGTATTTATGGCATCTGATTATTCCTAATGAGCTCATCAGCCGTGAGACAGTTCAGCCGACGAGATGAACGCGAATGATTTACTGCCAGTTACCGAATTGGCCATTTTTCTACAGTAACTTTACGACAGGCCATAAACTATGGCGATTAAACACGATTGCAAAAAAACGCTCATAAATAATATGTAAAAAACATTAAACATTCTGTCACTCGTAGTGTTGGATCAACAGCATCAAGTGAACCCACGCACAAAGGTATTGTTCGGTTTTGCAATTAAACGATCCGTTCGTGATCGGCATCAAGTGTTATGCCAAGGCATAAGATGTCAGTACATGGTGAAACAAGTACTATAATAAAACTCATAATTATAATCTAATGTGTATTGTGTATTGTAATGATACATTCATATTGTGTACTCAAGTCTTTTCTATTATTGCCTCGCTGGATGAAAAGTTTTTTTCTTACAGAACAATAGGTACTTAGAAATTTAATTAGTTTCAATTGCCAGAGGCGATCGGACTCGTACCCATAATATATCCCAATCTGAGCTGCCGCTCTATCCATTGAGCTACCAGAGACCTATGCGGAACTTACGAAGTCCTCAAGCGCCTTTTAGTTTCGCTGCTAGTGCGTGTGTTTGAAAATTGTTATGTGTGTGAATTGTTTTTGCTAGTGATATTATTTATGTAAAGCCTCAAATTTAAAGTTAAATTTAAAGCCTTCTGACAGTAATGGCACTAATATAGAGATAAAAATGTTATAATTGATTAGTCGTCAGCAATAAAAATAAAATATAAACTTGTAACGTGGTGAGTAATACATTAATCTTACGGTGACAGTTTACATTAAAGGTTAATGGCGACCATTAGGTGCGTGCGCGGAGGCTCACTCGGATTGTACCTACTTTATATAACACTTCGATTAACAATCTTCAGCACAATTTTGTTGTGTTAAATGCTCATGTGTGAGTGTGTTAAATAATTGAAAAATTGCAGGAAATAGTATATATTTTTTGCCATACTGTGTACATTTGTATATACATAATTTGCAGATGTTACATATTTCATAATGGGTTACAATATTACAGAAAATTATAATCTAAGACATTACACGTTCAATTAAAAAGAAGAATTACAAAAATGGGCAAATAAAAATATCTTGGAATTAAAAATTCGATATTAAATATAAATAAAAAACATACGACTATAAATTAATATTCATTCTTTACGAAATTAAAACGCAATTTAGATCACTAAATTATTTCAGGAATGAGCTTGCAGTTTCAAATTTTGCTTAGGAGTTCTTTTTAGGACTTAGATGCTCATTAAGACGGTTATTTGCAAAATTCGATACGTAAGGGCTTATTTTTGGGGTTTGAAGGGAAGCGAAGTCGCAGGCAAAAAGCTAATACATTATATTAACAGATTATTTAAGTATAAAATAGACGGTGCACTTTATACTACTCAAACTAAATTATAAAACAATTTTTTTTTTTCAGTAGATATTTTTTGGGTTTGAGTTTTTTGTTTTATCCATTTTCGATGGGGGGATATATTAACAGGCAGTGGTCTTTTACCCGACTGCGCGACGCAAAGGAGGGTAATGTGTTTATCAGTCTATGTATGTATTTTTGTTTCTATGTGGCGTTCTAGAGATAAAATGCGTAGGCCGATTTTGATGATTCTTACGTCAATCGATTCGTCTTTATTTAAGTTAATTTTTCATGTTTTTTTTACGCAGTCGGGTATCTTGTTTTTTTAAATATTAACGCAATAAACGTTAAATTAAAATCGAGATATTGTTTAATTTCTCATTCCCTGTTTTTGACAATCGATGGTCATCTGTAGTTTTAAAATGTTCCTCAGACGATCAGTTCACTTAGAGTGGACCAAGAATAGAGATTAAATCAACGATCCGCTCACTTCCGATATTATAATAATATAGAATTGTGGCTTAATCATACTTAGACGTATTCCTCATTGAAATATTAAAGAAAGTTCATTAATATTGATGTGTTTCTATTCCTTAGCTGCCAACATCTGTTCCTGAAAAAGTAATAAACTGATTATTTTGACGACTTTTTGATGCTACATTATAAAAAACCCTCCTATTCGTATTTCACCTATTATTGCTAATATACCCGATTGCTAATACTTTATTCAATGAATTGACGTATAAACTGTTTCAAAAATGAGTATCTACACTTATTTAAAATAATACCTATTTGGTGATTTACTAAATACCCCTTAGTAGTGACATAAGCATTAGTTATCAATTTTTCATAATAAACAGGCCTTCACTCAATACTTATAGGAATTTATAGGTTCTACTAAAATATTTCTATTTGCATTCATACTTTTTATGTGTCGGTCGGACTGATCCTTGAATAGCGATCGAGGGAAAGTTAATTCGAGATGCAATAATAGGGTTGGTCATACGAGCACTTAACGTAAGTATTATTAAAACACTTAAATATTAACAGTAAAATTCCGCTCACGAGCGGTGAGCATGAGCTGTCCACGTGCTTGAAACTTTCAAACTTTATTCGAAATTGATTAAATTACGGAGTCGATTGTTTTTTGTCAGCGAGATATATAGTGATATTATTCCATTAGTGATCTCTAATAATGCTATTAACATATTTATCGGTTCATTAGTATAAGTTAACGCCGTGCGTCGACCAGGCCGTGCTCTCTAATGTTATATACCTACGCGTGTGTCTAATAAATAACACCGTGTCAGCGGACACAACATTTATTGGTACGTGTCAAACTGTACATTGTGTTTGACTTGTTGGTTCTCCGATTGTGGAATTATTATTGTAAACATTCGCAGACGCGCCTTACACTTGTAGGCACATGTAGGTAGAAAAGAGGCAGCATTGTATGCGAACGGGTCTCGCTCCTCGTTCGTTTTTTTGTTCGCAAAAAACATAACAAAATGTTCGGCGTTCGGTGTGACGGTGACCGCATCGCTAGTAACGTCCATATCGGTTCTTGTATACCATTACTCGGGAACACCGTATAAGTCGTATACCAAACAGTAACTCACTGAAAATGATATTATCACTACATAGTACATAACAAAGTCGCTTTCTCTGTCCCTGTATCCCTGTATGCTTAAATCCGTAAAACTACACAACGGATTTTGATGCGGTTTTTTTTCATACATAGGGTGATTCAAAAGGAAGGTTTTTGTGTATAATGCAAGAAAACGCGGGCGAAGCTGCAGGCGGAAAGCTAGTTTTATTATAAAGTAACTAGCATTCCGCCCGTGGCCCCGCCCGTGTGGTTTTGCAACAATTTTATTTTGCTGCTCCACTCCACAATAACCACAGCGTGATAGCTTTGATCCTTAATAAATTGACTTTTTAACACAAAAATATTTTTTCAATTCGTACCAGTAGTTCTCTCCTGAGATGAGCGCGTTCAATTCAGCTTTGTAAAAGTAGTATAGACGGCACCATTTTGTAAAATATCAATTAAAATGCTTAAGTATTTAAACTTTAAAAACCTTTAGCTAATAAATACCTCGCGGGTCGTTGATAGAGGAACACCGACGTTGCGTACACCGACCGGTCTAACGATACAACGGCCGCGTTCTCCGAAATGTGGTGAGTTTCAGGTTCTATGAAAAAGTTTTTAACAAAATATACTATAATAGTGAGTATAGTATGTAAAAATCATCATAAAATGTTTATTTAAAATTATTTACTTACATCATAACATAAGAATTAGGGCCGTCTGGGATTGGGGGCGAACTGCGCGGTGTATGGCCTCCGGGCCGATCCCGCGCCTCGCCTACCATGAGAGGGACATCGCTGAGTTTTAGTGGGTAAACTCCTGTTTCTTGTCTAGCCCCCATTCTGGGGGTGGGACCACAGGAGGAGTCCCACAGACCCCGTGAACCCCAGCGCATGGGGGGGCCGTCTGGGATGGAGACGATAAGTGTCAATATTCGATAGATTTGTTCGAACCACACGAATGAAAAGTGGCGAAAGTGATATTGATATTAGCGAAGACTGTTGACCGACAAGTCCACCAACTCCTTCACCGACCGTCTTTGTCGTCCACTAACCGTGATTCCATAATAATATGTAAAACAAAAGACATTCTGTCGCGTTCTATAATTGTGGAGAGAAATGTCGTGACACACTTAGCGCTTCTAAATATGATCGGGATTTATAAGAAGCTGTAAATAGATTATGTAAATATCCTGCATTTTATATTTACATTGGCACTTATTTAAAGCGATTAAATGGCGGCCGCCGAACTGACCGCAGGATTAGCCGAATCGATCGTCCCGTAAATCATAATTAGCATATTATAAACCGGAAATAAAAACAATATAGTGTATAGATTGAACTAGAGCGGACCCCCGACGAGTGGGGGCCGCTTGTAATTTGCATCGCTAATCGAGATGTTGACCCCATAATGACAACATTCGCATGATAAATCACCGACACACGTTTTTTTTTAAATAATATTGTCCATCGGCTCGTAGATTATCGACGCCTCTCGGCTTATGATATATGAGTATGTTAATAGATTTTAAAACCATGGGAATTATTCAAATCGTTTTATTAAAAACGATTATAGTTTCGGTGCTCTATAAAATATAAAAGCGTGAATTTTTGTCATCAGCTTTTAACGATGCTTTAAACAAAGACATTTTAGAAGAATCATAAAATTTATAACCTTTTCATAACGAGAACATTAAGTGAGCACTTTTATTTGTGATGTGAAATATAATATTTCTTTGATTCTATTTGTATATGATTTAAAAATTTTATGTGTGTGTTTGTGTGTGGGTGGGTGGGTGGTAGCGCGCGTGTGTGTGTGTGTGGGGGGGGGGGTTAAGATTATACAAGTGGCGCTAATGCAAAAAAGTAAACGTAGCCAAATTCTTCTTTAATAATATGAGTTTAAAAAGGTGCGATAGGTGTTGGCAAATTTCTTTAGTCATGAATGTCTCCGGCTCCGGCTGGCCGCCGGCCAACCTCTGGCTCGTCAGATTTTATTGTAATTATTTCACCGCTTACCTCGAACACACATCACGCGCCGAAATAGACCTGCCGAAGTGTGGATTCAGTTTGTTGAAGTGCATTTGTTTCTCATTAACAGTATTTCTTATAAACTGACAAACGAATAGATGGGAAATTATTGTCATACATATATGACTAAGGAAAATGTATTGTAATTACTCCTTGATGTTTATCACACGAAATCGACTTGTTCTTGGCCGGATATTTAAATTATTTGTACTTCATAACTAACTGAAGCTAGTAACTAAAATAAATATTTTAGCCGCATATTTCACGCGGTTTACTTTAAATACGAAATTATATGAATTTAAGAGACTTTTACTAGATAGATAATGATAATGCGTTATTCATTAACTTAATAAAAGGAAATTATTAATAAGAGGTGTATATATGTAATTTCGTTAGAATGGCGTGATACTCATGTATGTTGGTCTGTATAGAATATAGACTTTTAAATACGTATGCAATATTTTATAGCTATCTGTTTTACAATTTTCATGAAGTCGGTGGCGGTTATTTATTAAAAAAATATGATGTGAGGTAAGGGAAAAGTAGATAATCAGTTAAGACACGTAGAGCTGTTTAATTCTTACTTATGACACGGCTGGAAGTTGGTGGTGTATCCACTGATTGTGATTCGATTTTATTTAAGTAAAAAAAAAAATATCTTTAATTATTTATTACCAACATTTACACCGATCATTACAGCTTAAAGCCGACGCGATCTTTTCATCTCAACAAAATACCTTACTTTTTCATATTTTGTATGCATAATTACATAACTGTTCACTAAAAGGTATAAAATAAAGATAATTAACTGAATAAAAATAAATAAATTAAATGATATTCTTAATGAAATCGCTTAAAAAAGTCACTGCCCCAGGTACTCAGAGCTGGGACTCGAACCTACGGCGTTACGAAATCCGGGCGACTGCTGCTGTGGATATTACTTAAGCATTTTGAATTAAGAATATATTCAGCACAGCAAGCGTTGTGAATGCAAAATTGATCAATATAGAATAAACGACGATCGCAGTCGCCCCCGACGGCGACCACTCCGATTATAAATGTTCCACAGAACGATTCCCAAACCATAATACAACTTGTTTCTTTTGTTTTAGTTTAATTTTGGCAGACAACACGACTCTTTAATTTTTTGAGTAAACGTTTGTATTTTTTTAATGATTCTTCAGAAAACAATTAAATGTTTATATCATTTTCTCAAAGTAATGTGAAATTTTGAAACATAATGCCTGGGTGATATTTAAATTTAGTAATTCCATAATATTAATATTTGGTGTCACTAATACGTTGTTGGTGTTTGACATTGGACCAGTTTTAGTGGAATTTTTGAACCAACTGAAAGATGTAGGAGGAATTAATAAAGTAACGCAGATAAATAACCAAATAAAACATTTGACCTTTTCGCACTCCTAAGCTTAATTCAAGGAACACTTTTCTTGGTTATTCATTATCCACGCACCGTATAATTTTATATAATTGATATGTTTTCGACTTTCACATTCACTTTGTCTTGCAAAATAACACCATTTAAACTTATCTTTTACAACATACTGAGTGAAATAAAAAAAAAATTACATTGTCATTATGCCGATGCCAATTCTTCGCCATTAATTGTAGGAAGTAGTGTCGTGATTAACCTTCCATCTCATTATTTTTCTTTATCATTCTTTGGATGCTCATCACTAATGATATTCATATCGATTAGCTTTGAGTTTTCATTCCATTTATATTCTTCACTCTGGTCATTCCGCGGACCGTCTAGTTCGCGTAAACCTTCGATTATATATCTGTAATTATTTAAATCCTGTAATACAAATTTATCCAAACCTCCACGAACTTTCATCTTATGTTTTTGCCTATTTACACTAATGTAAGCTCTTACCTGTAGCTTTCATAGTTTTTCTTAATACTTTTTACATTTCTTATAATACGTGATGTATTTAGCTAATTTTACACAATTTATTGCAAATTTTAATTATGTTGACATAAAAGTTTTTCTTCGTTGGCATGGTTACATCTAATACTCTTTATGAAAATCGACTCACACTGGCATTTTTAGGTTTCAACCTCTATAGATTTTGATTTTTAGGGTTCTAAATTGAAATCGTTCGCTACCAAATTTGAGCTTGTTTTCGGGTATATAAAGCCTTGCCCATGTAGTTCTTGAATTACCTATATGGCAACAGTTGCTTAAGCTAACTTTCTGAGGTCGCCCTGAGCTACATGAATTCATTAAAGATCTATTTCCCATCCATAGTATTCTTCAAGTTACCGTTTCAAAGTCGTAAGACAACCTTCTGGCTTTAACCATAAACTCGATAACTAAATTACTCAACTGTTACCGTTACCACTTTCAGTTCTATACCACCTACCTGCAATCTATCCTGAAACCTTCTCTGCTGGAGGCTATCTTCATCTGGACACCTGGAAGCCTTAGCTGCTGCTCAGATTTGGGCTATTGAAGGACTTTCTGCTGTACGCTCCAGGAGCCTCTACGCCTCTTCGAGACTACTTATCAAATCGCCGACGCCCTCAAGACTACTGAAGGCTGCTGGAGGACATTGCCGTCTTCTTGAGCTGACGTCGGGCCACTTCTGTCATCACTGCAACACCAACAACGGAACTTCACCGCCGACTCACGCCTACTTCACCGGACCACCTTCACCACTAACACGCTCCTTATACTTCACTGCTCACCTCACACGCCTCTTTTATATTTTTCTGTACCGTCTTTCATTTTTGTCAATAAATTATTTAATTAGACTTATCCCCTTGAAATTCTGTAGCCAGTTATACTTCGTTTCATAACAGTTGATTAAAAAAATCTTTATTAATAAATAAATATTCTGGAACCGGTTAGATAGGCGGTTTTATATTTTGCGTAAAAAATGAAGATATTGTCCTTTTGTAATATTAAGTCTCTGTGCTTGTTTTTCATATACAAATATTAAACGACTTTGGGGCAGTCCATCTTCTTTATTAAATTCATCAACGCTTAATATCTGGCAAGTTAAGTTTCAAATCAACTGTAGGCCATTTTGTGGTCGCCCGACGAGCGACTACATATTTGTAGTTCAATAGTGTTACGCATTTTTACTATAGATATTATCGTTGCTATCGAAATTGCTAAGAAGTAGATAGTAATACTTATATCATAGAGTGACAGTTTTACAAGGTCAAGTATCGCTATTTGGTGAACAGTGGTCCCGCTCACCTCCGCACCCGCCCCGTACGGTCCAGCACCGTATGCACTTGGTAGCCAGTATCTTTGGATCGTTCGGAGACCGTGCCGAGTGTTGGCGCGTCGCCACCGGCCGGCGACAGCGCGGCCACCAACACAGATACCTCACAGTGTCACACGCAGACAGTGAGTGCAGCAGAAATAGACGAACCGTATCTTGTTGTATTATATTCCCGGTGCGGTCATTATTGCAAATAAACTATGATATACCCATTACATTTCCTACGGCAAAACTGACAAGAATCTAAAATAAAACGAATGTTAAAAAATGCATGAGAAAGTTAACTTATATAAAAACTAAAAAGAAAGAAACAAGCCCAGTAGTTTAGAATTCTGTTAAGTAATACAGAACAGAACGACTCATAGTCGGGGCCTTTATTTTTTTACCAAAAATATTTCATCTTCATGCTTTTTCACTGTTTTTTTTTGTATGTATATCGTTTATACTAGCGAGAATGATTGTTTGTTAAACAAATTTAAATCGTTATGTATCCCTAACTTTTATTTAAAATGAAAAATAATAAAAGGGACCTAAATATGATTTTAAAATACCCATTCAACGACACCCCACTTGACATAGTTCATCGATTTTTTTTTTCATTTTGGCAATATGGCGTCTGATTGTCGCTGTGGTGAATTTTGATTACTGTCATGTCCTTAGTGACACTCGCAAGGTTAAGACGAATCGATTGACGTAAGAATCATCAAAATCGGCCTACACATTTGGTCTCTAGAACGCCACATAGAAACAAACATACATACATACACACATACATACATAGACTGATAAACGCAAAACTTTGCGTCGCGCAGTCGGGTAATATCTAATTCGTACAAAACTCCATAACCTAGACTGTTAGCAGTCGATATTTTTTAAAAGACTTTATGGACGATGGTTATTATGTAAGGCAAAGATGATCATGATCCAAGCCATTTCTTTCAATACGTACTTTGAATGAGAATTTTTGGTGATTCTAAATATGTATATAAATCGACAAAAATGGGCCTTAGATTATTCAGTCTTAAATCGTAGTTGTCGAAAGGAAAAGTGAAAATTTTGGGAATAAATTAATAATAAAATCAAACGCAATATATTTTTTTCAGTCTAGGCTGTTACAAGCACTTGTGACTGTGAAGGTGCAGCGAAAGAAGAACATACCATCAATTCTTAAATCTACGGCGGAAAATGTCGGTACTCACAAGAACTTGTAAGAAACGCAGCAAGGGCCATTTTTTCTCTGACAACATTATTTACATAAAAATTCTCTAGATTAGCTAGTTTGAAATTGTTATATTCTTGTTTCCCTCATAACTATGTTGTAATGTTACAACATACTAGTAGCGTAATACTTTGAAGGTATTGACGGAGTTATTACAACTGTAGCAAATAACAACGAACGTACGAACTACAACAATAACGCACTAGTCAACTAGAACAATTATAACTAACATTTGGACAGACGCGACGTTCATATATTCATTATATTTTGTCTGTTTGTAGCATAACCTTGAACAGGATTTTATAAATTTATATTGTATTGATCTGGTAACTGCATGGTTTCTGAAAATGTCGTTACTTCGTTTAGAGCTGATGAGTTTCATGTTTATGGATATCAAATTAAAATGGGAGACTTTTGTTTGAAATTGAAAACATGCAACGATCCGAACTTTCTTAACTTTTAGCAGCTGTAATAATTGGAAAAAGTACTTAGTTGAAATAAGATTTATTTAGATATTGAATTGTTAAATATTTTCAAAGATAAGGTGCACGAATATATATTTTGTTAATACGTACTTTGTCAAACAGAAAAACAAACAGAGACAGTAAACATGACAGCACGTAAACAATAGAAGGATCCATGTTTGATCAAGTAGTTAGATAAGATGAAGTTTTGTATTAAGTCGGTTTAAAAACTGTATTCAACTAACGAATGTGTTTGTGATTTTTTGATATTAGCCAATTTTTAATTAATTCATGTTCATGAATTTGTTAGTTATATTTTTGCGCGAATAACTCAAACATCTCGTATTAAGGTTATAGCTTTGGAAAAACGTAATATAATATATATTCTACTACACGCTGTTTGTTGTTCCAATACGATCAAGGAACTTGCTGGTTTATAAAATGGTAAAAACCAACATCAATCTGTACGATGATCTCTTACCGCACACATCACTCTATATTTATATGACAGCGGGTGGGTAGGAGGGGGGGCGCGGGGTTGCATTGCTTTGCTTCTTTTTCTGAACTCCATTACACATGAAATATATGAGCTTCCAACGTCCAACACTAAAATAAACTCTATTACTCTATTTTAACGACGATTGTGGATTGCTGGAAACCGGGGATTACTTTCACACCCGTAATTAGTAGCCGAAATAAACCTTATTTTTTCCTTGTAAATGTTGCGTTAACTGGAGCACCGTGTCTCCTGTTACTCTGGAAGAATATTTATTTAATTTATTATAATTTGAATCAAACAATCTTACACAATTAAGCTTATACAAGAAAATGATATAAAAACGACCTAAAGTACCATTATTTGCATACTACTTACTAGAATATGAGTCAAAAGTAACGGTTTTGCTTGAATGTTTAGAATCAACAAATTATTCCGCAAATGAGAGAAGTCCGGCCTCTTACTGGGATGATTAAACGTCAAATTCCCATAGGGAAGATGTTTCTCTGTAATAGTAAATAAATAAAATATATTTCCAACATTCATCTTCTTCTCCATCAGCATTTATTTGTTCAGTATTGGATATATGCCTTCCTCAGCTCTTTTCAGCGTGATCTGCAGGTTGTCTCACGCATCCAAGATTTCCCGGCTATTTGAACAATATCATTGGACTATCTCACCTTCGGTCTTCCTGGTTTCCTGCCATACAGTGGCCGCATTATAAACACACAATATTATCAGATAAATGATCAAAATTATTTGTCAAAGTTAAAATCAAAATTAGCTTTATTCTAATTAGTAGCATGAACATGTTCTGCAGTATGTTCAAGAGGTCCAATGATAGCGAAATTTTCTGACTTTGAAAATAAATGATGATGTATACGTTTTTTATTTTTTATTATCAATAATATTTCACAATTTGTAAGATACATTTCCAGGCACATTACAAACCACCACGATTTTAATCTATGTGCCATAGTTCGCTATATATATAAGGTATTACAATATTATTTGGTCGTTGCGATCCAGCATACACAGAAGTAGTGTTTTTAATTTGTTTTTTATATTGTTTTCGTTAAGTGAGTCTCGAAACTCTTTATCTAACATATTTATGAATCGGGGTAACAAATATTTCACAGTGCGAGTTCCATATGTGTTCTGCGCTCTTGTTATTACTAGTTTTCCGCAAGTAAACGAACGCGTTAACTTTCCGTGTGCAACTGCTTTTTTAACAGACCCATTAAAATATTCTTCCTTGAGAAATTGGTATAAAAAGAGATCTTTGACTGGTAGTACTTTGCAATGTTTAAAAAGTTGAACGTAGTTTGAAGCAAACTGCTGCCTGATATTAGGTGAAACTATATGTTTTAAAATTCTTATTTGAAGACTATATATTTTTTCTAAATAGGTTTTGTATGTTCGTCCGTAACTTGAGAGACTATTAGTTATTATAGAATTAAAAAAAGCAATATACAGTGCCAACCTAGTCGTAAAAGTCATTCGTTTTTTAATAATATTAATATTTGCTAGAAAAGCACGTAGTTTACCGCATACACGCTAAACCTGCGCTCCCCAATTAAAAGCGTTATCGATAACTAATCCAAGGTTTTTATGAGTACCTACTGTATGTATGTTGGCTAATTTCATAATGTCTTTGAATCTGTCCATTAGATGCATTTGTTTTTATTGAAATAATTTCCTGATAATTGTCATATTGTTGAAAGAATTCAAATTAAATGTACACAAAAAAAAAGTTATTTATTTGTTAGCGTATCGTCGTAACTCATTGCTGTATCGATCGTTCAATTGACTAAGAAAACAGTTATTTGAAAAATAAAAACGTCGTTCGTACGTCAGGAATTACGAAATATTAGAAATGTTTAAGTTTCTATGTGATGTGATCGGGTTCATATCTGAAGCAAGTCTGTAAGGTTATCTTAAAAGATTTTACAGAAGCTTATAACAATTGTAAATATAGTGTCGAGAGTTGTATTCGAAACCAAACTATCAAAATCAAATACAAAAATCAAAATTATTTATTCAGTCTAGGCTGTTACAAGCACTTGTGAAAGTCGAGAGCTACGCCATCGGTTCGTAAATCTACGCCGGCAGACCTTGTGCCGAAAAGAACCGGCAAGAAACTCGGCAAGGGCTGCTTTTTTCTCCCTGTTTTGTTTCATACAGAGCGTCAAGACTGAAAAATGACTTCATAAAAATATGAAGTCACTGTCCAATACTATATTAGAAAATATAAGAGTAAAACAGTATTTTCGTCAATCCAATCACATGTGTAGCCAAAGAAGCTCACCGATAGACAATTTAATATACATGAAAAATGAGCCATATTTAACACCAAGCAGTTTTGTCATTTAAATATTCATTTACAGTATAATATCCTTTACTGAGTAGACAATTCTTGATATGGGTTTTAAGCTTAGGCAATGGCAAATTTAAAATTTCCGTAGGAATTTTGTTATAGTAGTGTACACCTTGACCCATAAATGACGATAGTACCTTCTTTAGCCTGCATGACGGCTATCAATAAAACACCGAAACAGCAATACTCTTTGCTAAAGATTTCTTCTGTCTGACAGAGATTATACACATATTAATAAGAACTATACTATCTTAACGCCACCTATCTGGTGCTGTCTACACTAATATTCCGCTACTTGCTTGATGTAGCCCTTCAAAAATTCTGCTCACAGTAGCCGCCCGCCTTACGATAGCTCGTGCAGGGCGTTCCGGGCCGCCTTACGTACACACTGCCGGTTCCGGTAGGTGGCGGTAATTAATTTTTAATTCATGAGCACCTAATCCACTGACACAATTTCCTGGACGCCGTTAAGTTGCATATCATTCTTTACTTTTAATCACCCCTTAAACGAGTCTATCTATCTTTCATGTAAAATACTAGCTTCTAATTTCATAAATAAATATTTTGAAAAGTAAACAGAGTTCTTCGATGCCAGAGTCGTGACCCTCGTTGTTACTTTATATATTTTGCCTAATAACTTCTATGTACACTACATAGTAGAACCTAGTAGATAAGAAAGTTTTCGATTTTGCCTTAGAACAAAATTATGTTTTGCAGGCGCGGAATGTTGCGTGAGCGGGGCGTTACGTAGCGGCATGGCGTCCGAGGCGCGCGCGCGTTCGCCGCCAGAGGGCGCGCGCCGCCGCGACCGCGATGTTAGGTATATATCTATATTATTGTAAATATTAATAAAATATACATCACGCACAATATTACTATTTTATAACTGATCTTTCTCGACGATCGGCAGTCAACATATCCCATGCACTCAGCTCCGACCGCAACGGTTATCACTCGTGTGACTTCTAATTTTCCTATCTTTAGTAGAGTTTCATGACCGTCATCGTACTCGACGTTCGGTATCGCCTAATTAATCGGAAAAAGGAAGGACGTTTTCTTATTGCAAAATAGAGATTTATATTTTCACAAAAACATAATATTTGGCGACGACGGGTATCGAAATTCAGAGAAGGGCGACGGGTCACTTCACCTCGGCCGTCATCGGAGAGAGTAAACATCCGACGAGGTCGCTCGATCGCCGACGTGTGACTATTATTAGTCGTCGTCTTCCGTCTGTCTGTCTGCCACCTGCCGCCGTCGGCAGGCGCGGGGAAGGGGCGCTATATCGAGCGAACGTTCGGCTCAGTGAGGCGCCGCGTGCGCAGGTCCCCGTACGTGACGCTGGGCGCCGTGCGGTACGCCGTGCGCCGCGTGCCGGCCCCGCGCGCCTGCCCCTGCCGCTGCTGCTCCGAGGAGGCGCTGGCCGCCTGCCTGCCGCGCCCCGCCGCCCCGCGCCCCGCCGCCCCGCGCCCCGCCGCCCCGCGCCCCGCCGCTCCGCGCCCCGCCGCCACGCGCCCCGCAGCCCCGCGCCCCGCCGCCCCGCGCCCCGCCGCCCCGCGCACCTCCGCCCCGCCCGCCCGCACGCTGGAGCGCCTCCAGCGCCGCCTGGGCCGCGCGCGCGACGAGCGGCCCTCGCGCCACCAGCGCCTGCAGGCGCTCACCGAGCGGCTGCTGCCGCGCGCCCACCAGCCCCCGCCCCCGCCGCCGCCGCCGCCGCCCCCGCCCCCTCCGCCCCCGCACTCGGCCCCCGTGCTGCCGCCGGTGCCGCCGCCCCGCGCGCGGCATAAACATAGCCCCCCGCGCGGCGCTTCGGTCGACCGCTGCGACGAGTTCGACGCCGACAATATCACGCTCGTCCGCGTCGAGCCTCGTTCCATCGTCGGTTCCTACGCCCAGAGGACGATTCCGTACCGCAGCGCCTCTTTCTCCCAGGGCGACTTCGCGCCGGACAAGTACTATCGCGCGACGCGTCAGCCGTCCGTTTTCGACTTCGGACGGCGGCCGGCGCGGACCGAAGCGGCGCGCGTCGAGTCGGTCGACTTCGGAGGCGACGACGCGAGCGGATCCGTGGCCTCCGTCGACTCGGCGGTGGGCTCCGACGAGGGCTTGCTCGCCCACGCCTCGCCGGCCCCGCGGTCGCCCCCTCCGGAGGCTCAACTCAAACAGCTGAGTGCGCGCTCGTTAACGCATCCGCTGCCGCGTCGCGGAACGGAGCGAGCGCTCGCGGCGGAACAGTCGGGCGGTGGCGGCAGTCTTCCCGCGCTCATGGCGCCCCGAGTGCTGCACGAACTACGCGAGGAGAGTGACGGTTCTCAGGCAGACAGTGCGCAGCCGCACAGCGAGGGCACCTCCCCTTTAGAATCCGCGCGTCCCTTCGCCTTCCCGCCGCTGCCGGATCCGCCCCCCGCGTGTGTCAATCCAGATTGTGAGTGTGCCGAAATTACCGAGTCCGCCGAGGACCCCGCGTGTGATCTCGAGAGTTCGATTCCGGTACCGGTGTACGAGTGTATAGTGAAACAGTGGTCGAAGGAGTTACCGTCGGATGAGCCGCTGCGATCGGACGCTGCGTCGGATGGTTCTTTAGACAGAGACAAAGAGGACGAGACTATAACGAGTGAACAGGTCGCAGATTTACTTGCCGCCGTGCAAAACCCTCGATCGCAGGCCCCTATAGGAGCGCGAGAGAGACGAAGGCCGCTTGATAAAATGAAGAGAAGAAAAGGAATATACATAACGACGGCTAGCGACGATGGAGGTGAAGATGAACCACCGTCAGTAAACGGCAAACGGGAGAGTGGCGAGGCTTCCCCGCGCGAGACTCGCCTTTCAGACGAAGTTCGTACGTCCTCGGTGCTCGGAGATAAATCAGACGATTCCTTTACGAACGGGCCTCCCAGCCCATCGGATACCCCTCATTTAATGTGGCCCCGGTCTGAGGAATTGCGAATGAGGCGATCTAGATTTTCCCACCAAAGCTCCGATGAAAAAGACGACGATTCTTATCGAAGTAGGAGAAAATTCGGAGTTGTCTCTCGAGGGGATTCACCTTCAGAAGCAGAGAGCGATTCATATTCTCGGGATCGCACCGCATCACCATCACCTTTTAGTCCGTCAGATACTTCGGACGTGGAGACGAGAAGACAGCAATTCGCCCGGCCTTTCGGAAAGAATTTAGAGACACCGAGTCGTGAAAGTGGAAGACGTAGTTTCTCGGATGCCACAGTTCCTTCTCGCAAGTGGAGTGGAGGAACAGGCTCTGGTGCAGTAGGAGGTCGGGGTCGAGGTGCCACACACGTGCGTGCCACCTCCTCGCCCTCAAAGTTGGCGAGCGCCCGCGCCGGCGCTGAACTTCTGGCGGAGCTGCTACGAGGCAGCTCTGAGGCGCTCTCTAACGCCACTACCTTTGATAACGTCGTTCTCACCCTGCACCAGCACAATGTAAGTACAAAAACATTTTATTATCTTCTTTTAACAATCATGGTTATAGTTATTTTTTCAATTATCTGCTATAGAAATAAAAAAAAGAATATCAGTAACATAACACTCTAATTGTTGTCCGTTGATTCGTTTAAAAAACAATAAGAATATGGTGTACAGAATAGATTTAGTATTTAATCTTAAAAAGTAAAATAGAGTTCATCAATGCTCATCACTTATGATTATCCGCAGAAACATGATCAGTTACAAGGTCTCATTTGTTTTTAATACAACGTTCTCGGTCCAATGTCGAATGAATCATGAGCAGTTCCAAAATTGAAAAAGTTTAAGGACAAAGTAGTGTACATACATCTTCTTAATATCACCGACACTTCAAAAGTCTGCATGCTATGTCCATATGCATTAATAATTTGCAATATACGGTAAAAGTGATGATTTATAAGAACAAACCTCCTGTCTCACGAATCGGCCACACGCCATGGTAAACGAACAATTGCTTTCGATGTTATTATTATACATAACAACATTTGATAGTCCATTATTTTCTAACATTGTCGACTTATTTATATTTGTAGGATCAACTCTTTAGTAAAATCATTGCCATTATAAGTTTATCATAGAGGTTAGCTCAAAATATTATTAGTAGTTTCTGAAATAATGTGATGTGCAACAAGTGTAGACCTTGGGCTAACAGTAGCGTTGCAGTAACATGTCTTTGGTGATTTATTGGCTTGTCTTAACGCAACAGGCAGACGGACGTTATAATGTGGATTTATGCGAGGAATGACGTAAGAATTAAACAGTTTTAGATGATGACCCTGATGATAATACAGTCGAGTTATATAGGGTTCAAATAAAAAAGGCGTCGAGACCGCTAGAATGCACTAGGGTTAGTTTAGGGTAATCTTTTACATTATTATAAGGCATGATATATATTTTTTTAAATACATGCTGGTAACAGAAATTGGAAGTGTAAGATTAATCCTGAAAAATTTAAATCTTACCAGGTATCGGCGATGATGGCCGTGATGTATGATTCATTAGTTCAACAAACTATTTAGTGTTTCTTTATTTAGACGCCACCATCTGTACCCTGAAATCAATATCAATTTAACGTCGTCCATTTAATCATTTCAGTGTTGTTGTGATCGTTTGGTTGGAAAATTTTCGTTGGAAAAATGACTAAAAGTACATTCAGAAGATTGCTTCAGCTTATTCCTGTAGGGTGTTGTGGATCAAGCGTTGAGTCACGCGCGATGTGGGTCATGGTGAAAGACCGCGGCCGATTCACTCGATCAAACTATAACCATCTTGATATCGAGTGCACACATCTCAAATGTGAAAATGCGATCTTCAGTTACATGACATATTTTACCATTCTGTTATCAGAAAATATTTTCTCTATGAGTCTCGGTTCTCTCTGCTTATACTAAGAAAAAAAACACATGATAACATCTTCCGACATCTATCGGGACTGAAACGTTATTGTAGTGCTTTAAGAAAAGTCGTATCGATTCGTTTAATGCTATTCAGCGAAAGAGAATAGCATTCTTTATGCTTTAGTAAAGCGTCTAGCTGAAAGATTTGTGCAAACTGAAACATATAGACGATGGTTGGATAGTGTCACCTGAACTTATGTATGTAATCAAATCAAATCAAATCAAATCAATCTTTATTGTTGATCACAGGTTATATAAAGATATTGGATGCAAGGACTGAATAGTTACACCGTGATCTGCCTAAAAGGCATACAATATTAGTAGGTTAGTAATTGTCAACTAATCTAATCAATAACATGTTATGTCAAAAAAAATCAATTAATTCATTAAGTATTTATACATTTACAAAGTACTGTCAGCTAGATACTCGTTTACACTATAATATGCTTTAGCTACTAACAATTTACAAAGTTTTCTTTTAAAAACATTACAATTATCCAGATTACGTATTGTTTTTGGAATTTTATTAAAAATTTTTGGAGCCATACAAAATATACTTTTGTTCAACAGTGCTGTCTTAGAGGGTATTGTACACAATTTGTCTCGATGACGCAATCTCGTCTTATTTTCAAACAGTTGTTGATTCTGTTTGACAAAAATACCAACTTCGAATATATAGATTGATGGCAGGGTCATAATATTTAGTTTAATAAAATATGGCCTACAGGTATCCGTACTCTGTAAGTGACACATGCTCCTAACACATTTTTTCTGGGCTCTAAAGGCAGTTACAGAATCAGTCGAATATCCCCAAAATATAATGCCGTATCGAACAGTAGAAACTACGTACGCGTGATAAGCTGTAAGGACCGTGCACTGATTCGCGATCCTACTAAGTTTGTACAGTGCACAAGAATACTGGGACAACTTTTTGCAAACATGTTCAGTGTGTGTTTTCCAAGTCATCCTTTTATCAATATACAAACCCAGAAATTTTGTAACATCTGATTCTTTTATTTGTGTACCAGCATAGTTAATGTTTAAGTCAAAGAGTTTGTTAGTCCTTTGTCGGAAATTCATAAATTGAGTTTTTTCTAGATTTATTTTAAGATCGTTATAATTTAACCACTGAATAATTAACTTTAATGTCATATTTATTTCATTTTCATGATCACCTACATCACTATTACCTATGAACAGAAGAGTACTATCATCTGCAAACAAAGTCATGTCATGATTAGTTATATTGGGCATGTCGTTAATATATATCAAAAATAATAGGGGTCCCAGCACACTGCCTTGAGGCACGCCAAAGGGATAATTATATCTGATTTTAGATGAATATACAACTTCTGTTCTAGTCCTTTGACAGATTTTTTTAAGTTGTGTTTTTTGTCGTCGATTAGATAAATATGACTCTATTAGTTTGTGTATATTACCGCGGATTCCATATTGATATAACTTAGATAATAAGATCCTATGATTAACGTGATCAAAAGCTTTGCTCATATCCATGAAGAGCGCTGTCGCACGAACTCTGGCATCCATACTCTTCGTTACTTTTTGCAAAAAATTGAATATCGCCATATTTATAGTTTTACTCTTCCTGAATCCCATTTGTTGGTTTGCTAATATGTTATGTGATTCAAGAAAATTATAGATAGCTCCATAAATTACCTTTTCCAATATTTTAGAAAAAATGGGTAACAAAGCTATCGGCCTATAAGAATTCATTTCTTCCTCACTATGCTTTTTGAAAATTGGTTTAATTGTTGATATTTTAAGTCTATCAGGAAATATTCCCTGTTCTATACATAAATTTGTTATGTAACTAATTACAGGAGCAATAATTTCTGCCACTTCTTTCACAACTTTTGTTATTATGCCATCATAGCCCGCACTATTTGAATTATTCAGTTTTGTTATTATTTTTAAAATTTCACTAGAATTTGTAGGGTTAATAAACACAGAATTGCATTGATTTTTAATAGTTTTGCATGTCCAATTTTTGTTTTGATTGGAATCATCTTTAATTTGGTCAATAAAATAGTCATTAAAAGCAGATACGATTGTTTTAGGATCATTTATTATTTTATTATTTATTCTTATCTTAGATATTTCGTCACAGGGGAGGTGTTTTCTCTTGTTGTTTATGACTTGCCAAGTCGCTTTAGATTTATTTTTAGATGATGTAATTAAGTGGTTGTTTTTTGCTTTTTGTGTTAGTTTAATTATGGTTCTAAGCCTCTTTGCGTATTGTTGGAAAATATCTTTATTGTTTGTGTTTTTGTTAGTTCTATATTTCCACAGTAAAATTCTTTTCTTTTTACAGCATGTTTTGATTCCTGGTGTTAACCATTTTGGGCGAGATATTAAATTTTGCCTGATTTTTAGTTTTGGAAAACATAAGTTGTAGAAAAGCAGGAATGTTTCATAAAACTCGTTAAAAGATTGATTTGCTTCTTTGGATTCGAAAACATTACTAAAACTAATTTGACTCAAGCAATTTTTAAATTTGGAACAATTTTCGCCAGAGTAATCAATTCTGTATCTAAACCAGTATGGAAATGTGCATGTCTTTTTGACTGGACATTTCATAATTTGTGCAGTATGATCTGATAATGCATATTCAATTACTTCGGCTTTACAGCGATATATATTATGCAAGAAGTTGTCAAGACACGTGCCACTACTCATTCGAGTTGGTTCTCTAATTGCGATTTTAAGGTTAAAACTCCAACATAGTTCTTGAAATTCCTTTGAATATCTGGTCTGTTTTAAAATATCTATATTGAAATCACCAACTATAATAATTTTGTGATTTCTTAATTTATTTAAAATATTATGTAATGTGAAAAAGAATGTCGCATATGATTGCGATTTGCCATCAGGAACTCTGTATATGCAGATAACATAAATTTTGTGTTCGACTAATTCAACAGCCGAGCATTCAATGACATTACTAATTGATAGTTTATTTATTTCTGAAATTGGTCTAAAATTGTGTATGTTACCAACTAAGATACATGACCCACCACATCTCTTTTTTCTGAAAAAGCATGAAGCAATTCTAAAATTTGGTACATTAACGTGGTCTAAGTCATCTTGAGACAAATTATGTTCAGTAATACACAAAATATCTATTGGCTTACCCAATTCAGTGAAGTCATCAAGAGCAATTGTCAAGAGGTCCGTTTTATTAATAAGTCCATTAATATTCTGATGCATTATGTAAAGACAGTCATACACGAAATAATTCATTAGTATTGGAGGCATCATTAGTGTTAGTATTATCAGTAATTTCTTTACAGTTTTCAATGTCGTTTTCTTTAGTAGTATTAATATAATTTATGGCATAATTTTTTGTATTTTCAATGTTATTTTTGTTAGTAATTTCACAAATCATGTCATAGTTTATAATATTAGTCTCAGTTTGCTTATTTTCAGTACTGCAATATACTATATTATTTCTGTTGACATTTTGGTCAACATTAGTATTTGAAAATTGAAAGCAAGTTTGAGTACTTTTGTCAACAAGAGATATATGTTTTGGTTGTACATTATAATTGTTTAATTTCATTTCCTCATTATATTTAATTATTTTATTTTTATATGTCAAATAGAGTATTTCTTTCAACAATGATCTAGTTAAGTTAATACAAAAATAACTTTTATATGGTATTGATCTGCTGTAATTCATATCCATATAAAGAACATTACGATAATTGCGGCATATGAATTTCAATTCATAATTTAATTTGCTTTCGTACAAGTTTTTATTATATGGAATTTCACTTACAATTACATTGGTGTGTTTCGTAGAGTTTAGCCACAAAGTGAGATTACTTTGAAATTCATATGGATTCTTATCATTTGTTCCTCCTAAAACAATTATATAGTCATCACTAGAAAGTTTTGCTATTTCAGTATTACAGGATTTTAATACGTCACATAATTTTGCCCCTGGTTTCAAAAAGCTTGTCACTTTGTATGAAGATCCTAAAAGGCCTTGTAATTTATAATATAAACCCTTTCCTTGTTGATCAGCTATAATGATTATTCTCCTTGTGCTTTCTTCTTTCTTTAAGTTAGGAATATTAATATTTTCTGAATTTTTAACGTCACTAGCAGTTGCTTGATAAAGTTGAGAGTCGCTTTTTCTGTGATCTTCATTATATTTATTATTGGTATCAGATTTTCCTATAATATCTTCTTTGGATGGTGATTTCAAAGGCAATATTAGTTTAGTGCCTTTTAACTCACTTGAAAAACAACGGCGTTTCCTTTTCCCAAATGAATAAACGGAACTTGGAGTACTCGAGAATTGTACCTTCTTATATTCTCCTATTAATTTCTGAGAATGTTCTAAATTTGTCTTTAATTGATTATTTTCATCTAGCAGATTTTCAATTTCTTGATGTGCTGATGCTAAGTCGGTAGAAAGCTTGACTATCTTATTATTTAAATCAAGAAAAGCCTGACTTTCATTTAACGTATTGTCAGGTAAGCTCATCATTGTTGCATCAAACATTGATGAATCAGATATATCATTCAGAGAGTTACATTTAATAGGTTTGCGTATTGTAACGTTATCCATATTTATCTTATACTTTTATAGTAGA